GGCGGCCGTTAGGGCCGTTGGCGCGCGGCCGTTGCTCCCCTCTCTCCGTGCGGGCGCGCTAACGCTGTGGTGTTTTTCCTTCCTTCCTCCTTCCCGGACGCAGCGGCAGCCTCCTGCGGGAGCCCGTGTCCCTGGGGCGCTGCGAGCACGTTTTCTGCCTGGGAGTAGCGCCGCGGCTCGTGGGGAGGCCGGCCTGGAGGAGGGGGGGATCTCCCTCGACGCATCCGGCTCCTCCATACACAGTATTTAAAAAAACAAACAAACAAACAACAACAAAAAAAAAGTCGTGGAAAGGAGCTGGCTGGTGCTAAGAGGTTTCTGGGTTAGGCCAGCATGCCCCAAGGAGGTGCTGGTGGCCTCTTGGCCTGGCGTTGGGAGCCTCCTGGTGTTCCTGCTACAGGTGGAGTGAGCAGCCCCTGGCCCAGAGCCCCCTGAGGAGTGCGGGGACACCCTGTCCTGTGTGTCCTTGCTTCTCACAACAGCAAAGTGAGTTTAAAAAATACACAAACACAAAAGGAACAACAACAAAAAAGTAATATACCTTAAACATCCATTTGTTGGAGTTCTTCAGAAACTTTAATGAAGCAGTTTTGAACCGTCCAGTAGAACGGTGTCCCTCTATAGAGACAGGGGTAAGTGTGTCCTACTCTCCACTTCTAATCTAGTCTGGGCATTTGGCACTGCCGCCTCTTTGGGTGATAGTTACTGCCTCAGTAAAAGGTGGGGAAAGGCCTGTCTGCTCTCCCTGTCTCCAGCCGCATGCCCCTAATAAGAGCTTAAGGTGCTGAAAACTGAAGTAGCCCTGCAAGGTATTTTCATGCCTTTTAAGGAATGACAGTTTAAGGGGCAGTGATGCCCCCCGCATCCTTAGTCCCAGGATGGATCTATTAAAAGACACACAAGTGACTTGGTTCTATCCGTACATTTCGGTTCCTCCTTAGGCTTGACCGTTAATTGCTGTGGAAGCTTCTGCCTTCCGAAGCAATTCTTGTTTTTGTTCCTTGCTCCTTTTGTACTTCCTGCTCGCAGAGAACTTTGTTCAACAACCTCTAGAAGCTTATACGTGTTTTTATAAAGTGTTCATATCTATCTTATGCTTTTTTTTTTTGTTAGGCGGATTGTTGGATGACTGAAGTGTAGTGTAACGTTGATTTAATGAGTAGTTGTCAGGCATCTGAAGCCCTGTGGTTTATATTGGGTAACCCCTGTATGATTTGGATGATAGGTCTTCAGGAATACTTATTGTTGTTTTAAGTATTTTTAGGAAAGTTTTCAAGACAGCAGAAGATGATGTGGTTTGCATTAATAAAGTTGGAGGGAATAATGAATGCAAATCTTAAGCATTTACCTGTAGTGATTCCTTACTCCAGAAAAAGTTTATTTGCTGTTATCCAAGTTACTGTTATGCAGTCATCTGTTCTTCTTTGTGTGTCTGACTTTTTAGTCATCAATTGTAGTGTCTGCTTTGATGGCAGGGTCTTGCATAGTGGCTATTAATTTTTTTTAATTAAACCAAAGGAAATTTAGATTAATTTGTTCCCAAACAAGTTTGATAGGGGGTGGGTTGAATCGTCAGTATTCTGACGTGAATTTATTTCAATCCCTTGCTAAATAAAGGCAACTTATTAATATGCTTGGAAAAGAGCGGGTGAATGGCCAGAGAAGGCTTCCCATATATGAGGTGAGAGTAATGAGCTGCAGTAATCAGGTCATGCAGTGTAAAAGGCTCTCCCTCAGCATGGTTTTTATTATGGGCAAGGATATTTATTAAGATCAGTTCCTGCAGCTTTGTCTGAGTATTTCTACTTAGTTATAGTTAATGGATAATGACTGTATAAACCCAACAGCTAGAAGTAATTAGAAAACGTCGTGATATAAAAGTCATTCCTTATTTCCCTAACATTACCTTTCACAGACTTGGGAGACCCGAGGCCAACCTTTCTCGATAACGAGAGCTCTCCTGGCTCTCCTGCTTGCTCTGAGTGATTTGGCTTTGACATATTCTGGCTGACATGGATGGTCGCTGTGATCACAGCAGTGCCTCAACCGCTGCAGCCATTGCCCTCTTGGCATAGGCTTCTTAGAGCACCAAACAAACATCTGGCAGCAACTTTTATGCCATGGGCTTTCCATCTTGAAGTTAATTGAAGATGGGAGGTGATGTGGTGTTAGAGACAGAGATTTTTCTAAAGTGCTCTGTTCACTGGCATAGTATTTTTGATATTCTTAACTGGTATGCTCCTAGTTGATTTTTGGGATGCATGACTATGCATTAGATTCCAGGCTGACTATGTTCAGAGTTTAATGTGTAGATTTTGATTTTCCCGTCCAGATAACCAGGCCAAGATATCACTGGCATGCTGCTGGTTTGCATGCAGCATGGTCTGCTAACGTTTAACCACATATCTTTGGCTATTTTTGTGTTAGTTGCTAGTATGGTAATAAGCAGGGAGACTTTTGGAATTCATTCAATCCTGGGTGGTATATGTGTTTATATATATATATATGAAATATAGGTATAGATATATTTATATATCATATATAAATATATATATATCACCCAGGATTGAATTAATTCAAATGTCTGCATGTTTGTTACCTTACCACCAAGTGACATACCTATATATAAAAATATATATATTATTTATGTTTTTATATATATATATCTATATAATATTAAATAGGAGAGATGGGAGTTAAGAAATAACTGGGTCTGCCTAATGCAATCCAGAGAGCAAACTGTAAGGTCCTTTTGCTGGTCGCATCGAATGGATAAGCAATTTTAGGTTCATCTGTGCAGAGCAGTTTTGCTAAGAAGGTACAAGTATTAAATGACCTTTACCAAGTAAATCTATGTTTTTCCCCTGGATCTCCTCTAGAGATAAATGCTATAAAAGAGAAAAGTCATGCAGTACTCTGAATGCCTGCAGATTCCTGCGGGACTTTTTACAGAAAAATGTTCACTCAGGTAAAACTTCACAATATGAA